CTGCGAGGTGGAGAGCAGCGGCCCCGTGGAGGCCGGCCCCGGCGCCTGCACCTTCGACTCCCGGCACCTCTACACCAAGAAGGTCTGCGGCGAGAGCTCCGTTCGCGCCGTCTCCTACAATATCCTGGCCGACACCTATGCCCAGACAGAGTTCTCCCGCACCGTGCTCTACCCCTACTGCGCCCCGTATGCCCTGGAGCTCGACTACCGGCAGAACCTGCTCAAGAAGGAGCTGGCAGGCTACAGTGCCGACCTCATCTGCTTGCAAGAAGTGGATAAGTCCGTCTTCGTGGACAGCTTGGCTCCAGCCCTGGATGCTTTTGGACTTGATGGGCTCTTCAAGATCAAGGAGAAGCAGCACGAAGGCCTGGCCACTTTCTACCGCAGGGACAAGTTCAGCCTCCTTAGCCGGCACGATATAGCTTTCAGCGAAGCCCTGCTCTCGGACCCGCTGCACAAGGAGTTGTGTGATAAGCTGGCCAAGTACCCCTTGGTGCAGGAGAAGGTGCTGCAGAGATCATCTGTGCTGCAGGTACCAGCTTTGACACATTCTTCCTCTTTCCCCTCTCCTCTTCCTCTGGGCAGGTGCAGCCAAGCTAGGTTTGTTGAGCGTCAAACTACAGGAGAAGGGAGGCAAAGTCTGAAACGTAGACATAGCAGTGGTGTGTTCTCTGTTAGCTAGGGTAACGAATAGACCAGAAGAGCAACTTAGGAACACAAATAAAACATTGAGATTTTACTGAACTGGATAGATGGAATTACCAACATTGGTAAAAAAGGCAAAATTATTTTCTTTGTTTTAAGACAAAGACAGCTGTCGACATTCTGGACCATTGATGGTGGTATTGGCTGCCAAGTTTTTCACTGCTTCATCTCATATGTCAGAATATGTATTTGATAAAATGCAAGCCTTGTAAATCAGTTTTAAATGAGATTAAGTTCATTTGACTTGCTTTCATAATTCCACTTTACGAAAAGTGACAGTAGGGAGGGAAATAAGGTTGGAGAGGTTTCTGAGCTTGTTGATGCCCGCAGGTCTGCCAGCAGAGCTATCCTCTAAGTACAAAGGTGCGAGATCTAGGTCTGTGTCAGAAATTTCAGAAACACTCATTGGTAAAAGTTTCCTACTTGTGCACTGAGTAGGACTAACAAGCTCTCCTTGATAACTGAAATCACCTCTGAATTTATGTTCAATTTAACAACTTTGCGATGCTACAGATTGCTTGCTAAACCCAGAGATACAGCTCCAATTCTGTTGCAGAGGTGGGAGAATAGAAAATAAAAGTAATTAAGCATGGTACAGCATTAGCAACATCTTAGGAAAAAATATGGCCAAACCAGACACTTACAAACAAAAGAACATTTGTCAAATACCTGGATGTACTGGTAATGTTGGTAATATATTGGCTGATTTCCAGACCTTATAGAGAAGATAAAGACTCAACTTAGGAGCTGTACTGTTCATTAGTTACAAGCATCAGATTCTTTGAATGGGACCATGAAGGCATAAGCTAACTAACTTGCATTTTTTTAAAATATATAACCTCTTTGTTTAAGACTTATCAAAGATTGCTTTTTCTCTTGAAGGTCTCAGTTCTTCAGTCTACAACTGATCCTTCCAGGAAGATTTGTGTAGCTAATACCCACCTATACTGGCATCCAAAAGGTAATTTTGTCATGTTCCTGTATGTAGAGTAACTGGGTTTGTAAAGGTTTTTGTCCTTCCTAGGGAGAACAGGTTTTCCCCATTCTTGATGAATCAAGTCAGGCTACTAGGGCTGTTTGTTGATTTATTTTGCTTAGACTAAGATTATTCTAGTCTGCCTGGGCAAGTCACCTTAAACACAATTCACCCAAAGAGTAGATCATAAAATATAGATAGCTTTGTGTGTGCTCGTGGCTTCCCAATCCTATTGCACCTGACAAGTTATATTGGGGTACTGCCAGAAGGGCAACCAAATTGGGCTACAGAAGCTTTTATAAGAGATTCCTCTCTTTTAAACTAATTTCCTTTTGGTTCCATGCCTTTCAGGAACACTACTAGGATGGTTGCCATGAAATGGAAAGCTGCCATAGTATGGGTGTTTAAGGTTCAAAGTCTTGCATGTGCGAGTTTAAATTAAAGCATTGTCTGTCTCTCTACAACTTCCATAGTCACAAACTTCAAAGTCTTCTTTATTCACGAAAAATATTCTAAAATGTAGAGCCCAGAAAAAATGAGATGACTGTTTCAGAGCTATACGTGATATATGCTTAAATGAGTAACTTGGAAAATTCCTCCAAGGCCACTCTGAAGTGTTTAAAGTAATACGTTTTTATATTCTTAGGTGGGAACATCCGTCTCATCCAAATTGCTGTAGCCTTGTCTCACATCAAGCACGTAGCGTGCGACCTGTATCCTAGCATACCAATCATATTCTGTGGAGATTTTAACAGTACACCATCGTCTGGAACTTACAGTTTCATTAACAGTGGTGGCATTGCTGAGGATCACGAAGACTGGGCCTCCAATGGCGAAGAAGAAAGGTGCAATATGCCTCTAAGCCATCCTTTCAAACTGCTAAGTGCTTGCGGAGAACCTGCTTATACAAACTATGTTGGTGGGTTTCATGGATGTCTGGACTACATTTTCATTGACAAAAATGCTTTGGAGGTTGAACAGGTCATTCCATTGCCAAGTCATGAAGAAGTAACAACCCATCAGGCTTTGCCAAGTGTTTCTCACCCTTCTGATCATATAGCACTAATATGTGACTTAAAGTGGAAATAAATCAGCTCTTGCATGGTGCTCGTGAGGGTTTTTGAACAAGAAATTTAACTTACTGATGGGGAACTGAGGTTACACCCTGGCTTTCATGCTACTAAAAGGAAAGTCAGAATGATTACTGAGAAATTCACGTGTTTAATGGTTCTACCTAATGTTATCTCTCTGTTCAGAATATTTGCATGATGGCTTTTACCTTCCCTTTTTATATCCTAATAGGAAAAATATATTTAAGATGGGGTTTTGAAAACTGGATTATCACACACACCTTTTTATCGGTGTTTTTAAAGGATTAAGAACTATTTTATTAAAAAAAGCACGTGAATTTGATCTTAGTGTACAAACTGAACCCTGCTTAATTCAGAACCAAATGCAGAACCTGAAAACAAATGGATTTAGTTGATTCATCCTCATTGTAATTATTGTCATAAGGCAATTTTTTTATAGTAAGTTCAGAAATTGTCTTGTTCACTTACCATGTCCCAATTTTTAGTAAGTGGCATGAACAATGTACTTGTACCTACTACCTTCTAAAAAGATGTTCTTTAATTATCAGTGAATAGGCTTTCTGTCAACAATCAACCATGTTAAATTCAAGGTTATAACTGATTCGGAATCTTTTTGCTTGCCTGCTTAATATGGGTAACAAGGGTAACTTTAGCACCTGGTGAAATTGGACTACATATCCAGGTAGCATTTACTTTGAACATCTATTCCTCCTGTTGTTTATAGTCATTGGCAATAAAAGAAATACTGAAGTTTAGGACAGCCAACTCTGGATGCGAGGGAACTTTTTAACAATATAATCTTTTCAGGTAGGGGGAGATACAGAACAGTTGATGCGGTGCATTAGCTACCTGTGCCTAAACCTTTAAGAAGAAACGCAAGTGACTTACTACATACAAAGACCACCCAAATTTTTAATAGTGTTTTTACCTGCATTTTTTTCCTTCTAGAAATATGCTATGGTCTTCCCTATTTTGTAGGAGATAATTTGGATGTGGGGAAATGCATTTTATCTGTACCTTCATTGAATGTGGAGGGGTTTGAAGCATTTAACAAGCTTCTTTCCCTGCATCGTTAGTCCATATGAAACAAACAACATGTGAAAACCATTTCACTAGATCTCCCTCTTTCACCTAATAAAGTTCCCTTTTCAATTACCACTGTTGTCAACTGTTTGGGGTTTTTTTTCCTAATTACTGGTGTCTTTCATGGCAAAACAAGTCTGCCCAGGCTGATAAAAGCTGTGCACACTGTACTTGCACAACTACTTGCCACCACTGCATTCTGGTGGACTGTAGGTTGTAGCTGGGATTCACTAAACTGTTTACATACTTGAAAAAAATAGGCAGTCACTGTCAAGTAGCATATTGCCAAGGGTCACTGGTCCTGTCTCTTGCTGTAGTACCTGCTGTACTGTGAAGGGTGGTGCTTGCATAACCTTGTAAACATCTGCTCTTTAGCCTTTTCTATGTTATTGCCAATAAAATTACTACTGTTTTTTGTTACTGTAGTATCTGAGCATCTAACAAGTTGATGCTGATAAACAACTGCACAGTAAAGCCAACAGGCAGGTTTAGGCTCAGAGGTCATACAAGGCTAAAAAGATGCAGATCCATAAATCTCAAAACATGTCTCAAACAACAAGAAGACTAATCTCATTAACTGTCCAAAATTTTGTTACCAACTCTGCATATAAACACAGGTAAATGGGAATGGACAAGAGGACTGTTGCACTAATACACAACTTTGTAGAAGCCTGCATTACTACAGATCTCATGTAAACATCCTTTGCATGTAGCTTTTTCCAGCAACGTAAGCCGTTAACCTTCCATTGCCCTCTCATCCCAGCCTCTCTTGCCTGATCCTGCTCTACCACCTCTGAATTCTGGATACTTGTTCCTGCTCATGCCACACCAAACCAAAGTAGGGACGTGATCCAGCTAAAAATACAGGGCCTTTTCTGTTCTTGACTGTATTAGTGGGTGATTATATCCTGAGCTGATTCACCATGAAGTCTCTTGTGCCCAGAGAGCAAGATCGAGGCTTGGAGGTGCGAATAAGTGATCAAGTCCTGGAACAAGGCATTCACCTGCTTAAGCATATCTGCCACAAAACATAACCCATGACCTTGTTGGAAGAGTGCTCATTTATTGTGATGGGCTTTGGCAGGCTTATCTGCAAACCTTCAGAGTCCAACTTTTGCTAAGTTAGCGTTTTAGCTAAGCCAAAGGGTAGCTAAGGGCCTTTGGATAAAAAATGGAAGCAAAACAGGGTATGCGGCAATAAGAGTGGCAATGAATGATGTTGGATCATTGCAGCAGAGTTGACAGACAGCAGTCACCCGGTAAAACTGGGCCCTAAATACTTTGGGTAGGTCCTTGATTGGTTACTGCTCTGCAATAAATCTAATTAAAAAGTAAAATGTAATTCAATCTTGCATGGGACTACAAAGTTCATAATAAAAGTATCAGTGATTTGTAACTTAAGTTTCAACATACAGGAATGAGGAAAAGATCTTGCAAACAGAATAGAGGCTGTAAACCTCCTATCTGGGCAAAAAATTTTTATTAATTTAGTAAATGAGGGAAAGGTTACACCTGAAGCCATATACTTGCAAAAGTGAAATCATCTTAAAGGACAGAAAATTGGAAGATCTGTTCAAGAAGAAAATCTTAACACCATGAAAAAACACTGAAAATTACTACATTACAGCTGAGTCAGAGGCCTTCTACAGTTTGCCAGCTCTGAAAAATTTTGGGGAAAAACACTCCAAAAAAACAAACTCCACTGAGTAACACAGGCTGTTGTTGCTGTTCTTCTGTCTCCTTGCAGACCGAGGAGAGGGAGAGCCCAGGAAAGCTGGCACCTGCAGGAAGGAAGTGGTAAGGGGACTGGAACAGACCCACTAAAAATTGACTGGCCCTTGCATGCGGCAGATAATCCTTTAGTATCTTCAGGAAGAATTCAGCCCCACGAGCTAGTGCAGGAGATTCTCCAGTCCAAGTATCCCTGGTTTAATTAGTGAAATGCGGCAGCACAGGCTGACTGCCAATAGCAGCAACGTGTCATGAACCGGTCAGGCATTTCTGGAGTGAAAATGCAGAACTAGGGTCTAGGTTAGGAAAAAGTCACAATTCAAAAGAATTGTGATTTTTTTGAGGGCTGAGAAACAACCCTTAGGTGCACCTTTAACCCATATCCCCCATGCTCCCAAGCTATATTTACATCTACGTGAGGTAATGTATGGTGCTTCCAACTCCACGTAAGGTGATTTTAGCTCCCATTTTAGCTCCCCCTACACATCTGGACCTTGCCAAGCAATTAATGCTGCCTCTCAAAATCTCCTCTAGAACCCAGACTTATATATAAGTCCCATTAAGCCCATCTCCATTTTACTTCATAAAGCTAAACACACTTTTGTTCCAGCCATTGGAATGCTTCATATACTTCACATAAAAAAATTGGGTTATATTCTCTTTGCATCTTTTCAATTTCTTTTTTTGTTACTCTACTTTCCAAGAGCAGCCATTAAGGAAAAAGGGAAAAAGGAATATCTCACTTTGCTTCCTAAACAGCTTCCCCATCTCTGATATGGGATGCATCAACCAAGAGACACAGCACTGCTCCAGCACCTGCGCTGACTAGCTGTTGTCTTGGGAGGGAGGAGTTTCTTCTTTCACACTGGCTCCTGCTGTGGACAAACTTGTCACTCACAAGAACTTTACAAGAGCTAAGAGCACTGAAAGACTGGCTTTCTGGAGCTAACAGATACTTGGCTAGTTTTTCGGTTGTTCTTGTTGTGAAATGTAGTTTACCTGTGTATCCGATACATACAAAACCCAACCAAGTTCTGTCAGATCCTTCAGACTGGTCTGGGAACTTGGAACTCGTATTCCCTGGCTGGTCCATACCAGACAAAGGGGCCTTAGCCACCAGTACTTGAATTCTTATGCATCAATATTTCTTGTATCACTGCTGGTTTTGAAGGGACTAATTCAAGCCTTCAAAGATATGCATTTATGCATCATGATAAAGCAAACAATAATGCAAAGTATGATTGAGAGGAGGAAGAAAAGGAGAAAAATGGTACAAGAAAAGGGGAAAAATACCCAACATGCTAAGGAGTCAGATCTTTCAACACCTCAAATTAATTGTTGCCTTGTTTCTCACACTCTTAGCATCAAAAAAAAAAAAAAAAATTCAAGTCAACTCCCATCCAGTAAGAGGAAAGCCTGAAACATTTCAGAGTTATTCTAGCATTTGCATCAGATCCCTTGATAGAACCTGATGCTTTTAAAACTTTTTCTGCACCACGCACAACACACCCGGTAGCTAAGCTTTATTCATAGGTCCAACAGCAGCATATCCAATGTCATTTCTTACTCAAGTCCCCTGTCAATAACATTCTTGGCAAGGGCAGGAAAGACTGGGACAAGATGATGTGCAGAGTTTCATCAAATTGCACTCAAATTACCTTTGCCCAGACCTTTATATGAAGATTACTCAGGTGAGCAAGGACTGCAAACTGGGCTCTAAATTCTCATTACTGGCAAAACCCTAAACCGCTTTTTACACAAGCCAAGCCATTGCTGTAAGGGCCCTCACAGCATTCTATTCCCTCCAGTACATTGTTTTACTGGTGTATGTTGAAAACACCGAGAACAAACCAAGCAAGTAGAAATGCTTATAGCATTTGTTGCCAATTCCTACTGCATTTAGAACCAGTTTTTGTTCTTGCAAACAGTTAAACCAAAGTCTGAAGATTATCTGCAAAACAGCTGCAGAACAAATTCTAGATTACGTTGTTCATGAAGCCTTTTTAAAAAAAAAAAAAAAAACAAACCCCCAACCAAACCATCCAACAAATATCCTCTACTATTTATGCTGTAGGATTGAGCGATCAGGTTAGTTACATGTAAGAAAAACAAAACAAGTCTTTTCCACTGGTCTGTATGTAGATCTGAATATTATGCAAAACTGTTCTCCAAACATTGGAAAAAACTGAAGCGCCAATCATGCATGTTCTGGAAATACAAGGAATAAATTGTGTCAGCATGGCCAAATAAAAGAAAACACACACATTCTTCAGTGTTTTTGCTCTCCATAGTTAAGCTGGCCATCTGATACACTGAAAAAACCCCTCTTGTATAGAAATATAACTAGACTGACTCTCCAGTGCAGCCAAGCTTACCCATTGTTTGAATATAGGAGTTGATGCTAGAAGAAGAAAAAATTTCAGCTACTGGAACTCAGGATTTCCTGCAACTACAGTAGAATGAGGAACAAATTTTTAACCGTCTTGTGCCTGTCCAAGATTTTGAACTTCTGGCACAACAGCTCAGTTCAGCTATTTGACTTCTGATAGAGAAATGGCAAAGTTACTACATCTAAACTCGTAACAGACATGACAGAGTTGGATCTTCATGGAAATTTCATCTGCCTCTGGAGAGCAGGGCTGTAGTATACATTGTTAATGATATACAACATATATAGGTAACTGTTATAATTGCTTCGGCCAGATTTAACAATTTTCAAGAATGCCAGAAAGAAGTAATTTTACCTATCCACAATATCTTAAACGACAGTCAGTGCCTTTACAGTAGAAGTTCCAGTAAGAAGACTAGCATACAAATTATCATTATGGTCAGTTTAAGAAAGCATCACTGCCACAGCTAATGAATTTACTGACGCATAGCCACATAAATGGAATAAGATATGGATTTCAACACCACATGTGATCCTGGTACTAAAAGAATTAAGACAGCATAATAAAACTCATCAGGACTAAGTTTGTTCTTGCACTAACAGACAAGCACTAGCTACAAGAGAAAAAAAGAAAGCCACCAAGATTTCAGCATTTAGCAATAGCCAGTAAGAACATGAAGAACATGCGAAACAAACTACTCTGTGATTGTCATCTGAAGACAAGGCAGCTTTCTAAGCACATGCACCAACCCCAGGGACTGCTGTTTATGATCAAGAACACATAATCTAGAGCATACCTTGAAAATGTTTAGAGAATTGAGAAGAGTTGGTGAGAATATAACAACCCAATGGAAAGTTTATTTACTTCTGCCAATTGTGACATTATTCCACAGCCCATCAAGTGTCTTGTCCCTTCCACAGCTTAATACTACTATGAATAAACTGCATTACAGAGACCTTGCTTCCAAGATTACAACCTTACAGAGCATTAAGAGGCAAATATCACCTTAGTAACAGAGGTCAAGTGTGACCTTACCTATTTACAGGAAGATTGAAGTACTTGCTTCAGTTCCTCTTTATGCTCTGATTAACACTACAGCAACTACTCCATTACACCCA